CAGAAGAATACATGAGTATGAGTCCAGCTGAGCCCGTAGAAGGAAGGTTGGCATAAAAACATTTTAATTAAAAAAAAAATTGGCAATGGGGATAGAGATGGTTCAGCAGTTCAGAGAACCAAGTTCAGTTCCCAGCACCCATGTCAGGTAGCTTACAAATATTTTTAACTCCAGCTCCAGGGAATCCAACACTTTCTTTTGGCTTCTGCAGACACTTGCACTCATGTGTGTATATTTCCCCCTCCCCAAATACACAGAAATAAAAAAGAAATCTTTTTTTTTTTAAAGATAACAATGTAAAAGAGTCATGGCAGGCAGTTTTTTGATAATAACTCAGAAAACATTTACTACACTCTTTGGACGTGTGCACATAAACTCCACTTTCAGGAAAGTTGTGAAAAATTGTATACAAGTTTGGTTTTTTTTTGTGACACCTGACACCCAAATTCATACATACACATGAACATGTACATACTACACATACACTATACACGAAGATTAAAAATTGCATTTGTAAATAATCTATTTTAGAATATAGCAAGTTTGCAGTTACAGAAGATCAACCACTCATGCTGTTCAAAAGACACCTGTATTTCAGTTTCTAATAAAAGGCTATACAACTAAAGCACATTCACAGGCAGACTACCTAGCTCTGGAGGTACAAGGTCCAGGGGATGTGCTAGGTGATGATGGTCTTAAAATTCCTGAAGTGGCACAGGAGATCACACAAGAGACAGAGAGTGCATGTGTACACCTGTTTGGTATTCTCCTTATCATAAGCTACTTCGATCAAGGGAGCTCCACTTTAACACTCTTCCCCAAAGCCATACCTCTAACTGCCAAAGTGCACACTCGCTTAATGCCCCACAACTGAGAATACCTTTTAACGCACGAAGCATCAGAGAACCCTCAACCCACATCCAAACCACAGCAGGGACAAACTGGCTTAAATAAAATCACTACAATAACTTATTAGGAAAGAGTACTGGAAAGGCTTTGCAACTTTTGTGGAATACAAGTTTGTTATTTGAAACCTCATTATAAAAAAAAGAGAAAAATAATTCACTGGCAAATTCTAGCCAACATTTAGAGATGAACAAACACAAATTCTGCACAATATAGAAAGAGAAGATGAAGAAACACCTTCCATTTTTTAAAGTCAGCAGGATGCCAACACTCAAACCAAAGACAACACAAAACAGTACCAAAGCTAAACACTAAGGTCAGAGCCAGGCTTGGTGGCACAAACGTTTAATCTCAGCTCTTGGGAGGAGAGGCAGGCAGAGAGATCTCTGTGCATCTGAGGCCAGTCTACTTCTGAAAAGTTGTCTTCTGACCTCAACATGGGCATGCACACATGCACATATGCACATATGCACACAGATACCCATGCACACAAAGGAATCAAACATAAGCAAAAACACTTTAAGGGGTTTAAGCGGGGAGGGTTGCTGAAGAAATGGCTCAGTAGGTAGACGCGCTTACCACCAAGCCTGACTGCTTGATTTCCATCCCCAGGATCCACATGGTGGAAAGGGGAGAACCAACTTCTACAAGATGTCCTCTGACATTCATAGGAGTGCTAGGCATACCTGTGTGAACTCACACACAAAATTAATTAACAGCAACAACAAAACCTGAAGACTAATTTCCTTCATGTCTACAGATACCCAAGTCCTAAACTAAATAACAGGGCATCCACATCAGCAGTACATAAGAAGTTATGAATTACAACAAAGTGAAGTTACTTCAGAGAGTCAACGCTGGCTCCATATTTACAATCCAGCCACTAGAATTAATGCTGAAAGGGTGAAGAGGCTAAGCTGCACAACCACATCACCTCCATCTTCCAGACCTCTCAACTGTGACATGTCCTGAGCCTCAGCCTCTCTCTGCACCTTTTCTTTTATGACTCCTACAAGTTCTGTAGCTCAGAACTTGCCCTTGAGCTCCAGACTGATAAATCCAATTCCCTATGTACCTGTATAGGTGGCCTTCTGTACCTGTGAATCCCAAACCACCAATTCAACCAAGCACAGACCAAAATTATTTGGTTAAAAAAAACCAAAAACCCTGTGATTGTGCTGAACATGTAGTCTGTTCCTTAGTGTTACTTATTTCTTAAAAAGTAGTTACAGTGCTTACACATCATTTACATACATAGTATATTATACTATATATAAGCTAGACATAACGTGGCACCTGTGTGTGGTGGGTGCATGTGTCCTAGAACCAATTCCCCAGACAGTGTGACTGGTTCCTAGATAATCATTTTCAATCAAACATGTCCACTCTGCCATTTCCAATGCTCAAACACGTCTGTCTGTCTGTCTGTCCTTAGTAAACAGAAACTCCATTCTCCTAGTTGCTTAGGTCAGTACTCCTAGGGCCAACCCTTATCTCCTTTCATATCTAAACCCGGTCTATCAGTGAATCCTGTTATCTCTTCCTTTAAAGTATCTCTTTTTCCATATTTTATCCTTTTCGTGCTTCCTCCACAGGCACAATCCTGGTCTGCGGCATCCTTTTACCTGGGTTATTACAACAGCTGACAACCTGATCTTCCAGTCTTTCTTGTACCACGCCTATCTCCTACATACAGCCTTGCTTATGTAAGCAAAGCCTGCATGCAAATGTCACAACAGTACAGTGCAATAAGAATAAGCACTCTGCCTTCACTTGCTACTGCCCGTTCAGAGAACACTAAACCCTTACTTGTGCCTAACTGTGCCCATGTGACACAGTCCCCCCTTACTCTTCTGGCTTTATGTCTAACTATTCTTCTGGTTTCTATCACTCTGGTATACCATCTTCTCAAGTCCTCAAAATTGCAAACAAGGGTGTGAATTTGGTTTTCTTACTACCTAGAAAGGCAGCTTATGGCTTGTTCTCTAACTCCTTGCAAGCAACCAAATGTTACTATATCCTCTCAGAAGGGCATACATAACATACTCCTAAGTGAGCAACTTACACTTTCTCAAGTCCATGTATTCTCTACCCCCTTGGTTTCATGGATTTTTATGCAAATCATTTTTGATTCATTTTTTTTTATACTTGCATGCCTATTTTCCTCTTCTATGGAAGGCAAGCTCCCAAGGACAGAAACAGTTTGTTTGCCCAGAACAGTGCTTCAGACACAGATGCTCAGAAATTATTCACTGAATGAAGGAGCCTTTGGCTAATATGTGAAGAATTTGGGATCAGGCAACTTGACTGATTCAGATCTTGACTGAATTCTAGTTTTGCCATTTCCTCACTATGCCTGGGCAGCTCTGGATAGGTTACTCACTCACATTTCATGTGTTCTCATTATCAAATGGTGATGGCAAGCCCCATGCCAGAGCACCATTAGGGATTGACATTTAGAAACAGTAACATGCTGGATACATAGACTTAGTACACGGGTACTCAGAACAGGACAGTTACTCAGTACTCGGTAACTGTTTAGATGAGGTCTCAAAAGCCCTAACGTTGTTTTTTTTTTGTTGTTGTTTTTTGTTTTTTTTAAGGCAGGGTCTTAAAAGCTGGTCTGGAACTTACTACACAGACCAGGCTGGCCTGGAACTGTCAGAGACCCACCTGCCTCCCAAGTGCTGGCATTAAAGGTGTGCACCACCACACCTGTATCATTATGAGGTGTTGACTTGTGCGTTGATTCACTTAATCAGTTATGAACTCATCTTTGATCCCAGATGCTGGGACACACTAATATACACTCTCTTCATTCAGATCTTAGCTATGTAAGCTTGAAACTTATGTGATCACCACACCTCTGTAACCTTCTGTTTCCTTAATTGTTAAACTGTGAGAAGATAATACCTACTGCATAGCTTTGAAAAGTGCCTAGCGCCGAGCGGTGGTGGCGCACGCCTTTAATCCCAGCACTTGGGAGGCAGAGGCAGGCGGATTTCTGAGTTCCAGGCCAGCCTGGTCTACAGAGTGAGTTCCAGGACAGCCAGGGCTACACAGAGAAACCCTGTCTCGAAAAAACAAAAAAAAAAACCAAAACAAAAAAAAAAAGAAAAAAGAAAAAAAAGAAAGAAATAAAGAAAGAAAGGAAGACAGAAAGAAAAGTGTCTAGCATAAAGAAACTTCTCACTACACTAGCTAGGGTCATGATGTACTCCAGGTGAAGGGTCAAAGCACGTATATTAGGGACAGAGAAGTTAAGAAAACCAGGCATCAACTATAGGAACGTCTTCTAGGCTGGGAGGGGCCCACATCTAAGAAGTTCAACAACAATGGTAGGAAAGCTGTGGGTATGTGTTGGGGGTGTACGCAAAGAGGATGTCAGCTGTCCCGCTCAACCACTCTCCAGCTCTTTTGAGATTGAGTCTTTCACTGAACCTGGAGTTAAGCATCTAGCAAGCCCCAGAGCACTGGAGTTACAGACCAGGCCCACCAACTTGAACTTTTTAATGATGGGAACTCAGACCCTCATTCTTGAATAGCAAGCACTTGGAGCCATTACACCCCTCCAAAAAAAGGGGTTTTCAGTCGAGGTCAGTAGACGGCGCACTTTCACCCGGTGAGAAAAGGGGCATCACTTCTAAAGACTGAACAGGAACCAAGGTGGGGAGGCTTGCAAAGGGTTCGTGTCTTTAAAGGAGCTAGAGGAGCGCGGGGGAGGGGGACCAGGCACGGAGGGAGGTGTGGCCTAGGCCAGCCATCAGAGCGACGCGGCCGTTCCCACACCCAGGTCCCGCGCTTTCTGCCTCAGTGTTCCCTAAGGATTCGCTTCTGGACGCTCCTAAACTGCTTAGCTCCCTCACACTCCCACCACTCTTACCTCTTCTTCCAGTCTTTCCCTCACTCTCCCGCCTCCTGCACCCCAGACGGAAATGACGAATAAGTAGTGCGCCACGCCGCGCCAGAAAGGTTCTGCCGGAGCGGGAAAAAGGGTTCCGGTGAGGCTCACTGCGCCGGCGCGCGGGCGCGAGCGGTTAAAGCGCTTTTCGGTGTTCGAGCACCTAGATTTGTTCCCTCGGCCTGCCGGGTTCGAAGTCCCCTCAGCAAGGATCAAGGAGACGGTCGCCTCCTAAGGACCGTTTTCCTCCGGCTCCGAAGCCTCTCGGCGTCCGTCTGTGGCCCTTGCCCTTTGACCCCGTGGCGGCGGGGTGAGAGGTCGGGTGGCCATCTTGTGGCGGCGGCGCGGGCGGCTGTTACTGCGGAGACCTGTCCCCTCCCCCACCTGGTACCCCCTAGCTGTCTGTCAGTCGGCGGAGAGCCCTGCAGCCTGTCAGCAGAGGCCTGGGCCGAGTGCAGTCGCTTTCCCCGTCTCATCGGGCGGCCCAGGCTGCTTCTCACCACCGCCACCATGTCCTCCTTCTCGGAGTCGGCGCTGGAAAAGAAGCTTTCAGAGCTGAGCAACTCTCAGCAGAGTGTGCAGACCCTATCCCTGTGGCTCATCCACCACCGCAAGCACGCAGGACCCATCGTCTCCGTGTGGCACCGCGAGCTCCGCAAAGGTGATCACCCCCACCCCTGGGCTCTCCCATGGGTGTGTTCTCTCATCCACTTTCTCACACCCCTCTAGCTTCTTAATTAAGCCTTGCCTTGCAGGCTTGGGTCTCTGATTGAGGTTCTGAGATTGGAAACAGTGTTATTTTATTTTTTGCAGAGGGAAACTGAGGCCCGGTAAGGTATGGGATATTCGCCTGAGGTTCCAAGGGCGCAAATGCCCAGACTTGATGTTGCTAAGCTGCTTTCCTCTTCACACCTTACTACAGTTGTTTTTGTTTGTTTTAAATCGTGGCTGTACTTGGAGCTGGGAGCCCTGCGTTGGGCATTTGGAATAAGATCCAGCTGTCTCTGGTCAGACTGATTGAGAACTTGTGCAAGCATGTTATAGCTAAGTGATACTGGGAACGTTTCTTCATATCCCTGTGCCTGTGTATTCTAATCTGTTAAACTGACACAAATTTACCTGTACTTACAAAGCCTTGAGTCAATGTTAGTTACTATCCATAGACTTCAGAACAGGCCGGTAAATTGGGTAGCCTTCTGCACTTGCCACTAAATTCAGACTTTCGGGATCCGACATCACAGAGCTCTACCTGTTTCTTGCCAGGCCCTGTGTTGGATGTAGGTTGTTTCTGGCCACAGTCTGGAAGTTAAGCCTGTCTTTGTCACTTATCCCAACAACTTAACCTCTGTGTTCTTTATTCCTTATATAGAAAATGGAGATGATGGTAGTTTATGTTACTATAACTTTATCATGTGCTGCTATCTTTATGCAGGTTGCTTTTGTTTTTGCTTTAGGACAGAACCTTACTATTTAGCCTTTACTGGTCTGGAACTCCCTATGTAGACCAGGCTGGCCTCGAACTCAGATCCATCTGCATCGTCTCCCAAATGCTGGGATTAGCGGTTTGTGCCACTATACTGGGTGGTTCTTTTGTTTTTCTTTTTTTTTTATTCTTGGGGCCTTTTGAAATAGGAATTTTACAGATGGGGGAAACACAGAGGTCACCAAAGCAGATTCTAGTAAGAAGCCAGGATAATCCAGTAAGCATTTTAGTGTGCTGTGGGCACAGTGCAGGTTTTCAGTAGAAGTGGTAGGTTAAGACTGTTGACTGCCCAGTGTACACTTTGGTCTTTGCCTTCAGGTTGCCACATCGTGGTGTGGAGCAGCGACAGGTACAGTGCTAACTCACACTGCACTGGGTTCCTTAGCAGAAGACTGAGGGTTGAAGCTTAGTGGGAAGTAATTTCATGAGTATGTAGACAAGAAAACTGAAGTGGAGAGTGGGATAGTCAGTCTTCGAACTGATTCGCCTCAAACTCCAGGGTTTTCAGGAGACTGGACTCTCTTCTGGCAGAGCCTCCCAGTTATGATTTGCTCTACCGACGTAGGAATCCCTTCAGCCCTCTGGGGCTTAGGCAGAGCATATCTACAGCATCTGTGGAGACATGAGAAAACTGTCGGTAACCTTTGCTGAATTCCCTTCGGCAGAGTCTCTTGATCATCTTGAAATCACCAGCCCATCTCAGACTTCTGTTGTGAAGCTTTCCTTCTCAGTTCCTCACCTTACCTTTGAGTTCCTGGAAAATAGCATTTGGAGAAGTCTTTTGCTGCTGCAGCTCCTTTATGGGTAATGTTGTCTGATGGGCCGTCCACAGCAAATAGGCTGGCATTCTTATCCCCGTTTCATGGAAGATAAAGCTAGAGCAAGACCAGTGGCTTGTTCAGGGGTCTAAACTGGGACGTGGGCTCAGGGAGGACCACTACCAAGACTTAGTGCTTTTTCAAGTACCTAGTGCCTGCCTTAGTGATCTTAACTTGAGGCACTTTGCTCCATTGTGTCCTCTCCTATCCCATCCCGCCACTCGCCTTCACTTCATTTTAGTTATGTCTCTTTCTCCAGGTTTGTTTTGATCAGGATCCTATAATGCATTCAGAATTGTATCTATCACACAGTTATTAGCAGTTAGTTTAGTAGTTTAGTTGTACCTCTGATAATGTTTTCATGTTTGATTAAAGAACGGACCTAAATGGCCGTGGTTTAACTATCTGTGGCAATTTCAGAGCCGTGTCTCTATTTTTCACAAGGCAACACATAGATTATTTCTCCACTGGTGAAATGAGCCAATTCACACCAAATTAGATTGTATTAAAGGCAGGTTTATTGGGAGGCTGCTCTAGGGCAATTTGGTTTTGGACCTGGGACAAGGGACTGAGGTGCATATTTTACATATCAAAACAAACCTGGCCTCCAGGTTCTCCCAGCATCCCTCAGTCTCTACCTAGCATAACCTACCCCCAACCCTGAACTTTGCAGCCCAGGGTCTGGGCTGCCCTTCTCCTAAAGCCCTATTGATCCAGACATTTTGGTCTCTCTCTCCTCTTCTGTCTGCTTGAGCACCCTTTTCTCCACCCCACCCCCTGCACCCATAGTGACTTCCCTGACCTTCCTTGGGGCCAGTGAATTTGTCCACTGGAGAACAGCTTCCCAATAAACCAGCCTTTAATATATTCTAATTTGGCTTAAATTGGCTCATTTCACCAGCAGAGAAATAACCTATCCGCAGTCACTATCTACATGTGGCTATTGGACATTTAAAATGGTGACAAAGGAATAAATATAATTGAAGATTCAGTTCCTCAGTTTTATTAGCTCAATTAAGTGCCTCTTGGCCACCATGGTTGATAGCTCCCAGATTGAATCTTGCAGAACTAGAGTTCTTCCCCAAGCATTGAGATGTATATTCATTTCCTATCCAGCTTCCTTGTGAGCTGATAACATCCCTATGTTAAAATAGAAAAGGATTTTGTACTCTGATACTGAAACTGACTTTCCCCTTTTGATCTAGCCTACCCTGAGTTTTTAAAAATGGCCATCTGTGCCTAGGAAGAAGTTTTCCTTGTCTTAGACATTACCCCTGTCTTTGAGTTATCACTAAAGTACTTAAATTATTTCCTCTCATTTAGGAATCGCTTCTGTTTTTAATGTGTTATTTTCTAGGAATTATTAGTTAGTCCTTTTAGAATGTAAGTAGAACTTCTTTACAGTATGGAATAGTTGGGTATTACAGTGCTATTAGCTGCTTGCTCGCTCTATCCATCTATCTATTTTGAGGCAGGGTCTTACTATGTAGCCTTGGCTGTCCTGGGACTTGCTACATTGACCATACTGGCTTCAGACTCCCAGGGGCTTACCTGTCTTTGCCTCTCTAATGCTAGGATTAAAGGTGTGTGTGGCTAAAATGAATTATTTTTAATGTTTGTTTGTTACTGTGGCCACAATATAGGTAAATAGTTCCTTTTTCCAGAATACTTTGTAGTCTTTCTCTACACATCAACATTTTTGATTAGCCAATCTTTTAAACTTCACTCAGCAAGGAGGTGGGAAGATATATTTTGTCATATTGTACCCAGAGTTGCAGTAGTGGGAAGTGTATGCTGTTTGTTGGCTGTGTCACAGTGCCTATACACACAGAGTACTTGTATTTCTCTTTTAGGGCGCCCAATGTGATTTAGGCCAAATGAAGGCATTGGATCCCTTGGGACTCTAGTTAATAGGTAATTGTGAGCTGCCATGTGGGTGCTGGGAACCAAATTTTGGTCCTCTGGAAAAGCAGCCAATCTGCTCTTTTTCTGAGATAGGGTCTCACTATGTAGTCCTGGCTAGCTGGGAACTGACAGAGAGAGCTCTGCCTTCCTCTGCCTTCCAAGTGCTGTGATCAAAGTCATATGTCAAGCTCAGCTGTAGGAGTGAGGTTGTTTGTTTGTTTTTTAATCAAATAATAGTTTGTTATCATTTCTTTAAAAATTCTGAAAGGAAAAGCTGTACTAACCCTGAGTGAGCATAGCATACATGGCTGAGTTTTGGGTTGTGTAATTAGGTGCCTATGAGGACTAAGACCTTTTAATATGTTTAAGTAGAGTGCTATTCCTCTTTTCTATTTTCACTCTTCATTTTATTTTAATTCATACATTTTAATTGCATCATTTTTAAAATTAGTTCCTTCATTGTTTTTGAGATTATAATATGATTTCCCCCTTCTCTTTCTTCCCTTCAAACCTTCCCATATACTCCTTCTTGCTCTCTTTCAAATTCATTCCTTCTTTTTTTATTAATTGTTGTTACATACCTATATGTATATACATATATATTTCTAAGTATAACCTGAACAGTCTCTATAATCTTACTCGTATGTGTGTTTTCAGGGCTGACCAAGCTGACCATTTGGTACTGGATAAATTGGTGTGTTCCTCACTGGGCAAAACTATTTCTCCCACTCTCAGCATTTGTTAGTTGCCTGTAGTTCTTTGTGTAGGGTTGAGGACTCATGGGCTTTCCTCTGTTCGTGTTAGCATATCTATTTTGTTCTTCAGCTCATCATGTTGGTGAGACTATGAGTATAGTTTCCAACTTTAAAATCTTTCCACTCTTTCCCGATCCCTGAGCCTTGGGTGCAAGGTTTATTTTATAGATGTATTCATTGAGACTGGACTTCACAACTACATTTTGATTGGTTGTGCTTTTGTGTAATGGTCTCCATCTATTGTAAAGAAAAGGTGTTTTTTGTTGTTGTTTTGTTTTGTTTTTTAATACAAGGGTGAGGACTACACTTATCAGGCCCTAGAGAAAGATGTGTACCTATAGGAGTGTTCTTAACTGCTGAATCATCTCTCTAGTCTTTTGTTGTAATGCCATATTTGTAACAGTAAGACACTGTATCAACTATTGATACTGTTTTCTTGACTTTTTTTTTTTTTTTTTTTTTTTTTGAGACAGTCTCAATATGTAGCTCTGACTGCCTTGGAACTTGCTAGCATTAGGTAGACCAGGCTGGCCTCAAACTCATAGAGATCTACCTGTTACTGCCTTCCCAGTATTGGGATCAAAGGCATTCACCTCTTCGCCTGGCTTTGTTTTGCTTTTGAATAATCATTAAGATAAGTATAGGTTCTCACAATCTTCTCAGTTACTTATCTAAATTAGGTTATTACTAGATGGCTAATGAGTGTAGTTCAATATCTCTCTGTCTAAATGTGCATTCAGTCACATTGAGACCCTGTCTCAAAACAAAACAAAACCAAAAACTATAATGTTTTAAAAACCCTGTTTTTAATTTGGCTTTTTCTGTAGCTTTAAAGTATCAAGTTGCCATTGAACTGATAATAGGGTTCCTAATGGAGGAGTTAGAGTGAAGGCTATTGGAGCTGAAAGGGTTTGCAGCCCCATGAGGAGAGCAACAATACCAACCAACCACAGCTCCCAGGGTCTAAACCACCAGCCTGGGAGCACTTAGGGAGGGATCCAGGGCTTCAGCTGAATAGTAAGAGTGGAGGGCCCTGCTGAGCATAGGTGGAAGAAGAGATCCTTGACCTCATGAAGGCTGGACGCCCCACAGGGTGGGAATT